TTTACAGATGTAATTTCCCAGTGGTTTCAAATCTCTGCAAAGTGTTTTTACTTTTGATGATGTCCAGGATTTCCTCGTCCCAAGATCAGGCCACAGAAGAGCCTCGGTTGTTGAAAACGCGACTGGCTTCCAGAGCGCTCTGTTCTGTCTCAAGAGTGGCTCAATAAGGAGGGCAGTCACTATGACTGCTGTCAGGCGGTGGGTCAATGAGGGAGCAGGCTTCCTGCTGGGCCAAGTGCAGAATAGGAGAGAACAGGGGGTCTTTGTGCAGAGAGCAGACCCTCGCCAACCCACTCTTTACTGCCTTCAGTGGGATTTCTTTTTTTTAACACACCCAATGTTACGAGGCTGACTTTGTAATTTGCCGAAATTGTTAACCGGTATCTGGGGTCAGTGCAGATGACCTCGCACAGTTGATGCAGACACCTTTTTTCTACTTTTCTAAACTCACGGGAAGAGAGCTAGAAGTTGTGGCTTACTAGTTATCACACGCACACACATATATACCCCTCACCTAGATAGTAATCTCCGTAATGTCTGAAATCGTGCTTTTAACATTGTCAGGACGTGGGGGAAATCCATCACTAGCCCCACATCTCCATTCTGTCTTCCTCATATCCGAGTGGGGGGGGAGCACTGCAGCATATCGCAGCACCACCTTAAGCTGGGCTCCCAAACCTTTTATGACTGCGGAGAAAAGTGGATTTGGGACAGAGGTAACAGCCCATGCTTATCAAGCAGACAAGCCCATTTTCTAGCCCCTTGCTCTCCGCTCGACTTATTCTCACTGGTTGCCTGGTGTGGAGGTTTCTATTTATCAAACACAAACGGATGGGGGCCCGAATAGATTAGACTCCTCACACTGTAATGTGGTTTCTGACCCCTCTCTCCTCCTCTAACTCTACAGCTGTGCTGTTAAAAGCCCGCTGTGTTTCAGTGCTATTGTAAGAAACATTTAAAGGTGCACTTTGCATTTCTCTGGGAAACATATAGCCATCATCTGGCTGTGTGAGCGAAAGACAAAAAACAAATGTATACAAGAGACAGAAATTCCTGTCATTGCAAATTTAACTGATCTCCCTTCTTCTCATTATGTTCTGTTTCAGCAGGGTTTGGTTTTTCTGCACTTTGATGTATGAGAACATGAGTTCTGTTGAGTTTTCTGTCAGCGAGCACTTCACAGTGCATCGGCACGCCACTGCTCGTTCTATTTGTGTTCATTACAATTTTTTTTTCCAGGCTTATAACTCGGAACCTTGTTAGCTGCCAAAAGTAAACTTTTTCCCCTCAGCTCTGGCATAAAGGTTGAAGCTTGTCTTTACTCTAAGATACTGATGTTTGTGCATTTTCTTCTGTTTTTTTTTAATCACATGTTGCAGATAGAGATCCTTGCTTCCTGCTGAGGTGCTGGCTGCTTGTCCTCTCTTTTTTACAAGGAGCGACAATTCAGGCTAGTGAACCTTTAAATATCAGTCACGGGTGTGGTTTTTCCAGCTTCTCCTTACGTCACTGGAATTGCTTTAGGTTAACGTTCAGAAGCCTGTTTATTGATACGGGGACTTTGTTGTTATTCCTAAGGGACCCATTAAATTGGTGAAATATGGATTTTGCTCTGTGTGCTTTCATACATTTTCCCTCATTTTCTATAAATAATCTGAGGGAGTTTGAAAGAGATAAATTTGCCTTGAGTTGGTTATTTTTAGTTGCTTTCTAGAGGAGAGAAATTATACGCTGGCTACACTGCGCTTTATGTGAAACTTCTTTTATGATTGTGTTTCTCTACATGCTACAAAGACGGAAACATGAAATATAGTCATCGGTTTGGAATGCTGCTTTCGCCTTTTGTCAAAATATTTGTTCAGTCTGCAGATGAGTCCAGGGTGTTCGGCATTGATTTACACAATCCCACCTTTACGTGAAACGCACCCGTTTGAACTTTGGCCACTAACGTTGGCATCCTTGTTTTGGAATCTGTTTGCAGTTTTATTGGATTTAGTTTTGTTTATATAGCACCAAATGACAAAAATAGTTGCCTCAAGGTGCTTTGTATTATTAGGTAAAGACACTACAATAATAGAATGAAACCCCAACAATCAGACGACTTCAAATGAGCAAGCACTTGGCGATAGATAAGGAACTACTCGCTTCATACAGGAAGAAACCTTCAGTAGAACCAGGCTCAGGGAGGGGCAGCCATCTGCCAGGAGCGGTTGAAGGTAATGTGAGGGAGAAATTGAGATTAGTAGCAGAAATGGTGTTAATGAGTCAAAGATTCTAACAGAAGATTAGTTAGATGCTGCCAAAAAGCCGATTGCCTGCCATCAAACTCCTTACACCCCTGGTTCATCCCAGTGTTGTGTCTGCAGCTGAATGCAGATGGTTTGCCATTTTCTCAAAAGTAGAGCCGAAGCTAAGCCCTCCCCTACTGTTTCTGCGATTGGGATGAAAAGCTGCTAAAGGCAGCTGCTTTGACTCTGATAGGATGCTTGTAGGACCTTCAAGCCCATTCAGTTTTTTCCCTCAGATAGAGAGCAGCTGAAGATGGTCTTTTGACTGGAGGGGAGCCAAACCTGGGCACAGACGAGCTGCCCAGCCCCACACACCCAACTGTTCCAGCAGTGTAATGCAGAGATGATTAAGCATGTCATGGTGCTTTTGGTCCACTGGAGTGACGAATTCCTCCCTCAAGTCTCTCTCCATCTGTCCTATACACCATGAGTCAAACACATTTGCTAGTGTTGTCACATTCTGCCCAATATGTAAGCAGGCTCGCTGTGAATTTATTGATTTCCTGAAATTAGCTACTTGCTTCAGTCTAATTAGAAGCCACTCACTTGCCTCCTAAGAGCTGCAGTTAGAAATGTTTTGGGCTAGTTTAGAACATTGTATATTTTATTCATTACTGCTGTTTATTCACTTGAATTTCACTTCCACTTCTGCCTGGAGGGATTTTCAAAATGTTTTGAGCTCTTGCGCACTCTGTGCATTACCCAGCCTAATAAAGTTTTCTTTGCTTGAATTTACTCCGCAACTGCAGTGAAATGGCGCCAGAGCAGACATAGGAGGATATCTGTAAAGTAACTGCTAACACAGATCTTTCTAAAGGGACTGTGCTCGTATATCAGGCCTCAATTCAGTTGTTCAGGGTCCCTGCTGTACACTGAGACAGAATGCAGGCACACTTCCTCTTCAGTATTCTGGTCCACTCATCAGTGAATTAGTGTGGGGTCTGACTGCTCAGTTTAGTGGGAAAACGGCTTACATTTATTTGCATCTATTTCTATTTAGTTCAACAGTATTTTCTCTGTAATTGTTTGTGCTTTCAAGACAACTAAGTGCACAGAGGGCAAGCATTCATATTGCCACCATAATGGACCATGCATTATATTACTTCAATCTTGGATCCCTCGCTAGGGCGCCACAAGGTAGAGAAATTATCTTCTAGTAGTTAAATAGCTGAACTATTGGCACAGGATCCCTCGTTCGCTCTCACACTACTCTCTCATTTTCTGTCTTCATCTCTTTCTATCGCATTCTGCTCTCCCCTCTCCCCCGGAGACATGCCATTTCCTTGGAAGAGAGCAGGCATATTTTAAACTGCATTTAACACTCAGCCACTTATTTCACTCCATTCGTTGAATTATTAAAATACCTTCATACCCCTTTAATTATTTTTCAAGCTCTGCCCCATCCCTGCAGAACTGATAATTGGTGTTATTTATCTAAACAATACCACAGTGTGACTCTTACAGTGGGAGTGCTTGAATAATGGATGAGGTGAATGCAAAGCAATTTTACTTACTCTCACTTTGGCACTGTTCATGTCAATGTGATGTTACCATTTCTGCTCGAGGAAAGGAAATGGCAGCCGCGTTCCTGCGTGTTTACTCCTTCCCCGCACACTGTACTTATGATAACGCAAGACGTGATATTAACTTGCCAGGGAGGCTAGACTTGGTTAAATTTGTCAGTTCCTCTTGCCCAATTCCAGCGAGGCTTGTGGTTTCATAATAAAAAGCCTCTTTGAGGCTCTGGAATAAGGCCGAGGCACTTTGGCTGAAAGATAGAATGAACAAAAAGATGTTTTGGTTCGGGAACACTTCATTCAGTGTTTGGGGCACTTGGAGTCCTGCAGTGTTCTGTCATTTTTAGAGTGAGCATTGAAACACGCCATTGATGTCAGCGACTTCTTAGGATATGCTGTGACCGAACTGAAAAAGCAGATAGTAGTGTTGTGCAATTTAGAGTGATTGCAAGCATTTCGCACCTTTCATCAACCCTCTGCTGCAGCCTAACCGCAGGCATGTTTCTTTACTGATCTTTGATAGCAGTTACACTCGATTACTGATTAGTAATCCGATAAAGAAGCTGAAGCTTACGGAAAGAAGATCCATGCTGGAATCAGTGAAATCGAAACGCATACACTGGTATAATCTGACCGTGTTAAATTGTGATTGGTTTTTACCACCTGCTACATACAGGTGCTTTATTTTGAAGAGACTGGACTTTCAGAATAAAATTCTTAGAGTAACTTGTATTGAAATATCAGCACTGTTCACATTTCAACTAACAAGAAGTGTGAATAGCTGTGGCGTAGTTTGGTGGATAAAGAATGGAGGCGACCTGGCAACCAGCCAGAAGAAGCATCAAATTGAGTGTTATATATTACCACTTCCTGCACGAACTTTCAGAATAAAATCAATGTAAAAACGAGAAATAGAGCACTAACTCAAATTGTCAGACTTTTTAATCCACCGTATACACAGCTAATCAGCTGTTTAGAATGATAGAGAATGATCATCTGGGGAAAGCTGAGCAATGCATCCTTGATAATGAATCTGCCCCCATAATTGTGGTGTGATCTTCAAGCCACATCGCCCACTGATAAGCTGCTGGAGAGCAGCAAGAATTTCGCTAATTTTCATTAGCGCTCAGAGAAAAGTGGACCTGACGTAACTTTCTGTGTTGACATCTCACTTCTCCCCTCTGTTGCTCCTCAGCTTCAGCAGTGCAGCCCTTCAGCCCCTTCTGGTTCACCGTGGAGCCCCAGGACACGCTGGCCATCCGGGGGAACTCCGCTTTCCTCAACTGTTCTGCACACAGCGACGCAGCCACGCCGGCACACATCGAATGGAAGAAAGACGGCACCTTCATGAGCCTGGTTTCAGACGAGAGGAGAAAAATACTGCCCGACGGCACGCTGTTCTTCAGCCATGTGGTCCACTCTAAACATAACAAGCCAGACGAAGGAACCTACCAGTGTGTTGCCACCATTGAGAACCTGGGATCCATTTCCAGCCGCACGGCACGCCTCTCTGTAGCAGGTAAGGACTGCGAGATTAATCAGCATGGCCAGCATGTGATACAGTCCAAACTCAACTCTGGGTTATGCTTTCAAATGTGTTGTAGTTACTGTTGAGCTGTTGATCACTCAAAAGCCACTGTGAGATTATGGATGGAGCCGAAAAGCATTGAATAGACTACGTGTTTACCAGCAAGTGCTTTATAGACCTGCTGAACTCCCAACACGTGTTTGCACTTGTGCTGGCTGTCACATCAGAGTGAGTGTGCACATTCAAAAGCTGATTGACAAATGAGGCGATAAGGTTTAGATAATCCCAGCTTTAACTTTTTGTCAGGGCTAATGAGACGTCATAAGAAACAAAAGCTGTTTGTGCAGTGACTTAAAACCTGTCAGTCTTTGCTATGCTCCCCCCTTCACCACTGCATGCTATATGTGCACAGACATGTGGCGTCCGTATATATGAAACGGTTTTGTGGTTTATTTTTCTTATTCTGTTGGGGGTTTTTTGTCCTTCAGGTGCTCGGCCATTTGTGCTTTCTTTTCTTTAAATTTCTTCACCTCGCCGGAGCCTGAATGCATTTGGATAAATGCTTGTAAAAAGGGTCTTTTTTTCATTACTCGCTGTACAGTGTGACCTTGTTCAGCTCGGGAACAGCAAGTGACGTGGGATTATTAGGTGTTTTGAGTCAAGTCATGCCCCAAAATTCAATTTGCAGCTGCAGGAGCCACAGAATGCATTTACTGTGTGCTTTCTGCTCAGCCGTGCTCCGCCACATTTTAAAGACACTCGACAGAGACCTCTTGTTGACAATGGTATAGCGAGCCTCTCAGACAGCGAGCGCCTGTGTAAAGTTACTGTCCGCCTGCCGTTCTGTTACTTTTCATTGGTTTTTGAATTGCAAAGTAATGAAGCAGTATGTTAGCATTGCAGAGATCGAAAATATTTTTTTTTCTCCTTCACTCAAAAAGCTCGCGGTCTAACTGTGTGTGAGACGAGATCTCGCAGATACGACTTCCCTTGGGAAAAGGATATAATACTATTAGAGTGCAGCAGGGTTTAAAATAAAACATCGGATGGTCAAATAAAAGATATCAGCATTAAAATGATTCTGTGGAGTTTCCTTGTGAACAGACAAATTAGATCTATATTTATTTTCATGAAGACAAATGTGCTGAATGCACTTTGTCCTCCAATTTCATCTACACTGTGTGCACATTTACTAGGATACAGTCTTTGCTGGCACATTATAGTGTTTCCACGCGAATTATCACCCGTCCCTGTTGCGTGCACGCCCGTCTTTGTGTTTTGAAAACAGGGATTTGTGCTACTATAAGTCAAAAACTCCACGGGGTAGCTTTAACTATGCAATGTTTGGCATCAGTGGCACAGATTTGATGAAACTTTGGAAGATGACATATTTACAGAAATGTCATTTTAATTGGAATCATTTTTACAGCTGCCATTTACTTCTACACCAGCAGCAACAGGAGTGGGAGACAGGTGCTCCTGGAGTACAAATAATATCTCCCCCTGCGCTCGCCTATAATGCAAAAGGGACGTGTTTAGTTCTTGTTCCAAGATGTGTTTCCGCTTTGAGACAGCATCACAGCCAGTGGGATCTGTCTGGGTCAAACATGATGGGATGTTAGATTCAATCAATTTCTATTTGACGAGAGTAGCAGGTGAAATCTGTCAGCTTTTATAGGCCCACGTGCACATGCGTGCTCTGGGGCTCGCTGCTCACATGGTAATTTATAGACTTAAAAGCTTCAGCCACCGTGCATGTGCATATAAACACAGACGCATTTATGGTCGCGCTTACATAAGCCCATACGCGCGCACACTGCTGTATCTCCAGCTGTCTGGCAGGTGGCCAATAAAAAGGTTAATTGCAGTGTAGAGAGAGCAGGCCATTAGGCCGCCATCAGACCCTGGAACGATGGCGCAGGCAGGGGTGGAGTGGGCGTGACCTCTCCGATGTAATGACGGAATGAGTCACGGATGGCTGGCGTGGCAGGGAGCATATCTGACAAATACCGGGGTAATATCTGGGATTGATTGCAAGGGGACGTGCAGCTCATTCTTCTCGAGCAAACGCGTCTACTTCCACACAGCGACGCAATCACGACAGCGCCGCGCTCTCCCGCTTTACCTCTTTGCCCTGATGGGCTCCGCTACCCAACTTTTTTCATTTCTGTTTGTTTATATGCACAAAGTGAAGGTGGAAACAGTATTTAGATTCAGTGAAAGACAAAACACGGTTAGAAGAACACACGGGAATGTAACCAATCTGAAGGAAATCACTGTTTAAAATGCAGTGAAGTAATTCAGACTGTTTCGTATCATTCAGCTGACGTGGGAATTATTTAAAAATGACTGTATGTAAAGAAATAAAACAATTAAAAGTCCTGTTTCATATATTTATATAGAGAGATGTTTAAAGGATTTTTTTCAGTTTCAACATTTGTTATTTTTCATATTGCCTAGCTCTGAGCTCTCATTCATGTACACACGGTAAGATCTCTCTGCCTTGTGTTCCCTCTTTGCTCTCGCTTTGTCATCCAGTCTGTCTGTGTGTGTTTTAGCCTCTGTGTGTGCACAGTCAGATAGTGTGGAAACACAAGCAGGGCTCAGATGAAAGAGAAGGGGAATGTGGCCTAGTGGGGCGCAATCTTATGCATTCAGTTTGAGTCTATGCGAGAGAGAAAAGGAGGGGGGGGGGGGAGTGAGAGAAATTATAGGGCAGAGAAGGAGTGAGCGGTATACAGCAGTGTTAGCCAGGACACAGAGCGAGACGCGCGTAATGAGAAATCCCATCTTAACTGTCTGCTGTTCTCCCACGCAGCCGTCTCTCCTCCCACCGGCACGCTTTGAACTCAGCCCTCTTTAAGAATCGCTTGAGGTGAGCCCCACCTCACTGCCGCTTAACAGGGAAACCCCCAAATGAGAAAATGGAGAATTTATTTTGCCCTCTCACTGTCTTGGAGCCTATTTGGTTTGTATTTCCTATCTGACGTCTGTGTATGTACATGAGGCAGTTCTCTGCAGAGCCAAATCAAGTGCTTCACCTCTGTTCTGCTGTGCACTCTCTCTCTCTTTCTGTCACCTATAGGTTACTCCGGCATATAAAGATGGCAAAAGCCACTTATTGCTTTGCTTTGATATCATGCTTCACTGAAATCTCATTTTTCCCCTCCCCACAGTGGCAGAAATTATAAACTGAACACCGGCACCCTTCACGTGTCACATGTGTCGCCTCATATTTAATAGTACTCATCCTTTGATAGAGTCGGACGCCTTTTGAAGGATTTAGGAGTGTCGGCAGATTCTTTAATCCCCTTTTTTTTGATGTATTTTAATCTGTTTTTTGACGAGGGGGGTAGGGGAGGGGGTGCGTCACACCCCCGGAGAAATGACGGCTTGAAAATGTGGAAAAGGATGATTGCATCACCGTTGCAGGGGGAGCGCTTTGTGCTGTTGTCGGAGGCACTTTGTTGTACTTGCAGTTAAGTTGACATCTTTACATATTGTGAATAATCACAAGTCAGCTGTGTTTTCACAACATAAAATGGATGTCAGCCAAACACGGATCAAGACGTTCAATTGGGATGAAACATAATAGGGCACTGAGGTTGCCATGGTTCGCAAGATTTCCTTTGAATGATTCTTTTGTGTGTAGTACATTTTCTTCATTCAGTGACTCGGGTAAATAAAATGGTAAAAGGTTGCAAGGGAATGAATGGATACATGGCTTTATATGCCCGCTTTGAAAAGGATTTTATCTGAGTTGAGTGATTTTGTTTTGTTTCTGTTTTTTTATAAGCGGCATATCATTACTTTTCACTTAAGGACAGGCAGACATTTTTTTTTAGCCTTTTAAGGCGCGATTGCATCAAGTTTTGACAAACTCGCACATTCACCAGGTGGCTCGAGTAACACGCTTTGGCAGCTCTGTTTAATCCTTGTTAAAACTACCTCGGTGCATTCAGCTCATCACATACAGCCTTTCCTCCAGCCATGACAGGGACCGCTGCAGTTCAAGTTTCTGTTGAAATATTAAACTCAACACGGATTGTATTTATAAAATGTTCGTCAGAGATGGACGTGGCTGCTTTAAGGCGAATACTGGAGCATATTTTGAGAGAGTTGAGTCATCAGTTATCGTGGCCATCGTTGTGTAGTGGTTAGGACATGTTGTACATGGTCCTCCTACTTTGAGACTGGGAGAAGACACAAACCCTGCCTCAGGGGGGTCATAAGCTAGTGTACTTCCAGTGGGAGTGGAGTGGAGTTACCTGTTTTTAGCTAATGCTCCCAAGCTTTGCTCTGTGTTGCCAAGGTGCATCCATAGTGTTTTCCACTTGATTGTGTCATATCACATTTGATTTTTCTTTCCAGGTTTCCTACTTCCTTAATATTTACACAGTTTGTCTCCTGGTGTCTCAGATTAGCAAGAGTACCTAGAAATACATGTATCAGGATGGTTTTATTGGCCGCTTAAAGCTTAAGAATGACCATTTTTAGGTTTACATGCAGTTTGGATACATACCCATCTGCACTCACCTGATTTCTGGAACACTGTATAAATAATTTCTACTTTCTATGTGTTTTATTTTGCTGTGAAAGCTACTTTTGGCTGGTCCCTTATTCACAAGTTGGTCACCACAGTGGGCAGCTCTGCATGTTTGATTTAGCAGATTTCTTTAGGTAACTCCGGCTGCCTCTGGGACTCAACCACAAAGGGATTTGTCTTTCCTCCGGGGGATCAGACTTACTTGTGCTCTCTGCTTGTTAGGTGAATGTATAAACCACTACGCTATAATTGTGTTCATTCTGTGAAACATTAATTATACTTAATGTGAGAATTAAAAAAGATATTTTCTTACCAATTGTGTGTCTCTGTTGGCTAAAGTCTAATTAGGTCACTGGAGAGCATGCGAGTCCTCCTTAGATATTCTGAACTTTGTTTTCTCCCCTTTTTAGGATCAATATATAAACCTCACCCTGTTTATAATAAA